CGCGTCGCGCAGCAGCGGCGCGCGGATGTCCCCCTTGCGGGAAGGGAAGGTGCGGTAGGGGGGCCAGGGCTAGCCCTCGCGACTCCACGTCTGGACGACAGGAGCCCCACGGCAGTCAAAGTGCAAGGCCCGGTGCGCGTGGGTGAGCGGTGTGAGAGTGTGAGACAGGCGGTCTGCTCCGCGCGCAGCAGCGGCGCGGCGGCGTCTCGCTCTGCCGCCTTGGAGATATGAGGAGATATGGGGAGATATGGGGAGATATGGGGAGTTATGGGGAGGTATGAGGAGATATGGGGAGATGTGGGGAGATATCCGCCGCCTTGGAGCCGCGCCGCAGGCGTATGTTGCGAGTGAGCGCGTGGAAGCGCGGAAGCGGCGTGATGAGAGCGTCGGGCGCGCTGGCCGACAGCGTCGCGTCGTTGCCTGCGGGACGGGTCAGAGAGGGGTCCGAGAAGGGTCCGAGGAAGGGCGGCGAGCCGACTCGTCGCGTCGTGGCCCGCGGCGGCTGCGGGCTCGGCAAAGTCGCCCACGCCGAGAGTCGGGAAGGCGGGCATGGTGATCGCGCGCTCGTCTGGACGGAGCACCGCCGCCAGCCGCTTCCGCCGCAGCCGCATGTTGTGCTCGACTCGCCTGGTACAAGAAAAGATGCACGCGCGTCGTTTTTCTTTTCTTGGATCAGCCGCATGTTGTGCTCGACTCGCCGGAGGTCGGCGGTGTACCCGCCGTACGGCACGCGCGGTGTGCCTAGGGAAAGGTCCGAGGAGGGTCCGAGAAGGGTCCGAGAAAGGTCCGAGAAGAGGTACCCGCAGGCACGCGGTGTGCCTAGGGAAAGGTCCGAGAAGGGTCCAAGAAGGGTCCGAGAAAGGTCCGAGAAGGGGTACCCGCAGGCACGCGGTGTGCCTAGGGAAAGGTCCGAGGAGGGTCCGAGAAGGGTCCGAGAAGCTTCACCCGCCGTATGGTACGCGCGGTGTGCCCTCGACCATCCACGCGCCGTACTCCGGGTGCCACGAGCACGCCTCCCCGAACCCGTCCCGGCGTCCAAACTGGTGCTCCTTCTGCCGCAGCACCTCCAGCACCTCCTCCGCCCGCAGCGCCACCTTGGCCGTCTTTTGCTTCTCGTCCAGACGCACGAGGTGGTATTCGATCTCATCGCCCCAGAGAAGCTCGTCGCTGGTCAGCGCCTTGTTGTCGTGGAACATCGCGACGAACTGCTGCACGCCGTGCTCGCGCACGTAGCTCAGCCACGGCAGCGCCTCGTCGAAGGCAAACATCTCGTCCTTCGAGAGCTGCTGCTCACCCGCGCCGCCGCGTACGCGGCCGATGTGCGGAGGCAGGCGAGCGGCCTCGCACGCACTCAGCAACAAGGCAGCGATGCCGAGGAAGAGCTTGAGGTGCACCGGCCGAGGTACCGGCGAAGGCACCATGGCTGGCTAACTGTTCGACGCGAAAAAGAGAATTTTGGTCGTTGGCTGAGGTGGCGGGCCGGAAGCTCACGAATGAATGGGGCACCGGGGAAGTGTTGACGTGGCCGCAAATGAAGCGAGTCTATGGCCTCAAAGACAACACGACGGAACATAGCGAATACAAGAGGCTGGCGGAGCAGCTGGAGCGACCAGAGTGGGCGCAGCTGCGACAATACTGGAAGTGGGCGGCCATAGAAGAGCGCGCACACGGACAGAAGACGGAACGGAGGGCGCCCGATAGGGTGCGGAAGGTGAAGGCGGCAAGGAAGGCGCCGACCTGCTACGGGGGAGGCACGGAGGAGGACGAACACGGATGGGAGTACCTCTGCGAATGGGAAGGCGAGCAGAGCGACAGCTGGGTGTGGCACGATAAGATGCCCCACACATGGGAGCAGGAGCTAATGCACGCGCAAGGCGCGAGACGGCAAGCGGCGTCCTTCCGAGAGTGGCTAGAACACCGCAGAAGACTAGGTAGATCGGGGCCGGAGGCAGCGCAAGCGGACAGGGGGTGCGCGTTCGCAGGGAAAGGGCCTTAAAGTAAACACGGGTCTCCGAGGGTTGGTTCCGTGTACCGGGTTTCCCCTTAACTTCAGAACGCCCCCTCTACTCGGAGCTAGCAGACACGACACTGTACACCACGCACGTGCACAGGTCCTCACTCAGCATCCCGTCCCAGGGTTCCACCGCCCGCCTTCCCGGGGCTCCGGTTCTCCCTGATTCGCTCTTTTATTCGCCTGTTTCTGATGTCTCTCCTTTTGGTATTATAAAAAAGTCCCGGAAAGTGAGAAACGCCGGGCAGCGTGACGCATTACTGAACCCTCCCATACGTGCTCGTGCTCCTCCTTTGCTGTCCCATCTCCCCATCTCTTTCCCGCCTGGGCGGGGCGGTGGGCGGGCGCGCGGTGCGGCGTGGCGTGTGCGTGTGCGCGACTGCGACGAAGGACCGCTCGCAGAGGACCATTGGGTTTGTACTATTAACAACGAAGGAAATCAGAAAAAAGAGAATTTCGTTGTATGCTCATCACATCCGCCGGCTTTTGCGTGCCTGCAGTTCGCCACCGTGTATCGCACCGATGTTGGTTGGGCTTCTCCAATTCGCCGCGGCCACCGCGTTCTCGCCCCGGCCCGCGCAGTGCCCGGTGGGCGAGCCGATCGTCGGCCCGTGCACGGTGGAGCCATTCGAGTGCCCGGTGGGCGAGCCGCACGTCGGCTGCGTGTTGCCCCAATTATCGCGAACTCTCACAAACGTCGTGCCAAACGTGACAATCGGCTCGCACACCTTTTCGGGCAATCCGTGCAAGAACTACCCCGGATACCCGCGTACGCGGAACCCCATCCACCACTACACGAACGCTTTGACGGGAAGCTGCGAGCTGGTCGACGATCTCACAGACTGGGAGATCCCCCAGACCGCGATCGACGTGACGAAGGGCACCCAGGTGGGGGCGGCGGCGAGGGGGGCGGCGGCGAGGGCGGCGGCTAGGGGGCGAACGTGTGGCCTAGGCCGCAGCGGCTTCCGTTCCTCACCCCGTCCCCCCTCTCTCCTCAAAGGGCCTGATCAAGCCCGACCTGGACCCGAAGCCCCTCCACAAAGCGATTGGCCCCGGCAAGGGCTGCGTGGTCAACATCCACTATCACCTCGGGACGGAGCACTACAACGCGGACTCGTACAGCGAGAACGGCCCAGAGTTCCTCGAGCGGGCGCTTGGCTGCGTCCCAGCAAATTATGAGGGAATGGACGGGTACGACCCGACGAAGGACACCGTCTTTTGCTGCGAGAACTATGACCACAACCATCTCGCGTGCGCCAGACGGACGCCGATGCCGCGACTTACCCCATTCCACAACCTCAACACCCGCCCGTCTCCGCAGGTTCGAGGATGAGTTCGGTCGCGAGGGCGGAGACCGGCTGCTGCCAGAGGTGTGGAAAAAGATGAAAGCGGCATTCTGCCACGGCGAGTCGAAACCCAAGTGCTGCACCGGCAACGCACTGTACTCGAACGACATGTTCAGCGACAAGCCCATCTTCACAGAGCAGGAGCTCGTATAGTGTCACCCTTCGCTCTCCTTCCTGCCCAATCTCGCGATATCTTTCCGCGCCTTTGTGTTGCACCCGCCCCGTTTTAGGGATCTGAGAGCTTTTTGTCTTTTGTTATTTTGTACAACCTTTCGTCGGCTAACGTCCAACGATCGCAGCCATGCTCGCCACCCTTTTTTGTATTTTGAGGATTGAGCCTGTCCGGTGTCCGGCGCTGGCGGTCACACTCACAGCCGTCACAGATCTCGTCTAAATCTCGTGGGGTCGTGTAATATCCGAAGTGCACCTCCACTCCCAGCACCCGACCCAGGGACCGCAAAGGAAAAACGACACTCTCACCTTCCCTCGTGTCCGCGATTGGGAGGGCACTTATGCTTTTGCGAGCATTCTGAGTCATGCGTGCTCCTTCGCCAGCAACAGGGTTCCGGCTCCTAGCCAGATAGGGGGTCTGTTGCCACTGGCTGGCCCCTATGCAATCTAGGTAGGTGTAGGTTCACAGAGGGCTCAGCGGCTATTTTTCGCCTCGCTGCGCGGCCCCGCAATAAGGTAGGTACGGCTTTAGGTGGGGCACGGAGCCTGGCGGTTGGCGCCCGCAATATATATAGGTAGGTAGGTAGGGCGTTTTGGCGCGACTCAGAGAGAGATTTTTAGAAGCCAACTTCTTCGACTCAGTCAGTGGCAACAGACCCCCTATCTGGCTAGGAGCCGGAACCCAGTGCCGCTCAGGAAGCTGAAAAAGAATTTGCCCTCACGAAAACAAAATCGACTAAAAAGAAACGAAGGACCGCTCGCGGAGGACCATTGGGTTTGTACTATTAACAACGAAGGCGCTCTCAAAAAGAAAGAAGAAACGCAACCCTGACTCCAAGTGCTCTCTCACAGCAGATGTCCCGGAAAAGAGTGAGAAACGCGGCAGCGTGGCGCACAACTTTACCCTCCCATACGTGAACGAAGGCGGCGTTAATGTGACGAAGTGTCGAAGTATTGTTGAGCCAGGACTCAACATACTCGGGCTGTCGCCGTCCCAAACTGTCACTCCCCTTTCTCCCGGCCGGGGTGGGGCGCGCGCGGGGGCGGCGGGTGTGCGGGATGTCTGTGGGCCCGAGAGCGATATGCCATGTCCGCCTTGCGTTTGTTTCATAACATCGAAGGCTTAGCTCAATAAAAAACCGAGAGCGATATGCCATGTCCGCCTTGCGTTGTTTCATAACATCGAAGGCTAAGCTCATAAAAAAACGCTGCATCGCCGTCGATGCACCCCTCACGTTGGTCTCGAGCGAGTTCATCATCGGCGCCCTGCTGTGGCGACCTTCGCCGCCTCGTGCTCGGCTTCCCGCTTAAGGACATGTTGGAACTCGAGGACAGCCCTGCAGTGCACACCCTCACCGAGCTCGTACAGCTTCGCGGCATCTCTCACGGCGACCAGACCTTCATACAGACGTGAGCCGAGCGCGAGCATCTGCCGGGAGAGCATCGAGAGAGATGCCCGGCCCACTGACTCATCGCCGCGCCTCCGCAGTTGGCGGCACGACAGCAGCGAGGCTCGCGGTGGCATCGCCCGCACGATCAGCTTCCGCGACTTCGCCCGCCTCGTCGAGCAGGCCGCAGGCCGCCTCTCCTCGACGTGCGCCGCCGCCGCCGCTGCCGGCGGCACCGTCGCCATCCTCTCGCTCCCGAGCGTGCCCTTCTTCGTGTACACGCTCGCCGTCATCCGCGGCGGCGGCGCCGCCGCCGTGCTCAACTGGCGGCAGCCCCACGACGCGCTCGTGGCCATGGCCCGCGCCGCGAGCGCAAGGTCGCTGCTCGCGTCGGTAGACCTTGGCAACGAGGCGCGGCGGCTGTGCGACTCCGCCGCGGGCGTGCGGCTGCTCTGGATTCCGCGCAGCTGCGCCGACGATGCGCCCGCCCCGACGCCCGACGGTCCGTCCCGACCCCATTCAGCCGCCGCCGATGCGACATCTGCCCAGCCGCCGGCAGAGGTCAGAGCGGGAGGCGGCGACGCCGGCACCGATGAAGCCGGCTTTGCGCGAGAGGCGGCGCAGCGGGAGGGAGAGCTCGCCGGCGCTGACTCCTCTCCCGGCAACGCGACCGCCCTCCTCCTCTTCACCAGCGGCTCCACGGGCGCGCCCAAGCCGGTCGCTCTGTCGCACTGCGCGCTGCTGGCGGCCTGCGGCGCAAAGCGGCGCATGTCGGCGGAGCTGCTCTCGACGCAAAGGGCGGGGACGCTCTCCTTCTTGCCAAACTTCCACGTCATCGGCCTCGTCAACAACTTCCTCTTCAACCTCTCCGCCGCCATCCGATGCGCTGTCCTCGAGGATGCCGCCGCCGCAGGCGCACGCAGCACGCGCCGCCTCTCACACACGCGCACGATCACCGGCACCAACACCACGCACACACCTCATGCATGGACACACGCCGCCGCCTCTCCCGTCCAGACCCGCAACGCGCCCACGGACACGTCCCACCGACACGTCCCACCGACACGTCCCACCGACACGTCCCACCGACACGTCCCACCGACACGTCCCACCGACACGTCCCACCGACACGTCGTCCCACCGACAGTCCCACCGACACGTCGTCCCACCGACACGTCCCACCGACACGTCCCACCGACACGTCCCACCGACACGTCCCACCGACACGTCCCACCGACACGTCCCACCGACACGTCCCACCGACACGTCCCACCGACACGTCCCACCGACACGTCCCACCGACACGTCCCTCGCAGGCCCGCTCACGGCTCGGATGCTGCTGCGCGCGTGCGAGGACTCCGCGCCTAGACCTCTCCTGTACTCCCGCGCGCTACTCGCCGCGCTTAGGAGACGCACTCGCCTTGCACTCGATGGGCTGGCCCTTGTGTAGCGCCTCCGCAAGTCTGCGAGGACGCTGCACGACGACACTGCCCCACACATCACCCTGACTGGGGGCGTCCCTTCACGGCGCAAGTAGCCACCCTCCCCTACCCCCACGGTACCCGAACCCACCCTCCCACACCCTGACCGGCCGCGTCCCTTCACGGCGGCAGGACCTCGAGCCGACGGTGCTCGACACGGTGCCGCATCTCGCCCAGGAGATGCTCCTCCTCCTCGACACTCCGGAGGGGGCGCCCCTCGCCGCGCCGCTCAAGCGGCTGCGCTATCTCCTCGCCGGCGGCGCCGCCCTCAACGGGGCGCTGCTGCTGCCGCTGCTCGCCCGGCACGACGTCTCCCTCTGGCCGCACTACGGCCAGACCGAGCTCGGCGGCCCCATCCTTGCGGGTGGCCTCGAAGGAGACCTCAGTGCGATGCGGCCGCCTCCGGGCGTTGGCTGGCGCCTCGCCCCCGAAGGCGGCGGCGGCGGCGGCGGCGGCGGAGGCGGCGGAGGGGAGGAGGGCGAGGTTGGCGAGGGGGAGGAGGGGGAGGGCGAGCTCCTGCTGACTGGGGTCGGGGCATCGCGTCCCGGCGACACGGTGTCCGCCGACACCCCTGTCCGCACGGGCGACATCTTTCGCGCGGTCCGCGGTGCGGACGGCGCCGTGTGTGGCTGCAGCACGTCTAGGACCAGCCGAGATTACCCGAGATGGCCCGAGATTAGGCGCGGACGGCGCCGTGTGGCTGCACCACGTCTGCCGGCGCGACGACCTCCTCGTCCTCTCGACGGGGGAGATGACCAACCCGCTCCCCATCGAGCAGGTACCCACCCTCCCCTACCCCCACGGTACCCGAAGCCACCCTCCCCTACCCCCACGGTACCCGAACCCACCCTCCCCTACCCCCACGGTACCCGAACCCCCCTCGAGCAGGCGCTGCTCGCGCGGTGCGCAGAGCACGTGCGCGCCCTCTGCGTGTACGGGCAAGGCCGGCCGACGCCCGAGGCGGTCGCGGAGCTCAAGGCGGGTGCGGACGCCGCCGCCGCCCGAGCCGCTCTGCTCGAGGCGGTGGGGTGCGTCAACGCGACCCAGCCGCTCTGGTCGCGGCTGCGCAAGCAGTGCCTCACCCTGCTGCGGCCGCCTTCCGACGAGCCCCTGCCCACATCTGCAAAGGGCAACGTGATCCGGTCTCGCGTCGAGGCGCGGTTTGCGAGACCGGCAGAGGGCGGCGCACCCTGGGGCAGCGGGGGAGGGGAGCGGGGCGCCCTCCCGCCTCCCACCGCCGCCCAGGCCGCCCCCGCTCCCTCCGCGGGCCTTCCCGCGGCCCGTGCCGCCGCTGGCGGTGGCGGTGGCGGTGGCGGTGGCGGTGGCGGTGGCGGTGGCGGTGGCGGTGGCGGTGGCGGTGGCGGTGGCGGTGGCGGTGGCGCCGTCGCCGTCGCCGTCGCCGGAGGAAAGAGGCTGCGCCAGGGCGGCGGCGAGGGCGGCTCGCTCAACGAGCTGCTCTGGCCGAGCTACGCCGGCCACCTCGTCTACGCACTGCACGGCCTCGGCACCTTCGAGGCCCTTGCGGAGTGGGGCCCTGAGCCCCTCCCCCTCCTCCCATTCGCGGGCCGCCTCTCGCCCCCTCCCCCTGCCGACGAGCTGCTGCGCTGCCTGCGGCTGCTGGCGATGCACGGCGTGCTTCGCGAGGCGGCGGCCGACGATGCACGAGGCGGCTTCGCCTTTGCGCTCACGCCGCTGGGGCTCCGGCTCCGCGCAATGCTCGCCGACCGGATGGTTGACCTCTTCTCCTTCTCTCCCGCCTACCTGACCGCGTGGGCCAACCCGACACCGTACATGCGCGGCGAGAGGTGGGGAGAGGTGGGGAGAGATGGTGAGAGATGGCTGTAGGCCAACCTGACTCCGTACATGCGCGGCGAGACTCAAGGCCGCGTGCCGTTCGAGCACGCCGCGGGGGAGGGCCTGTTCGAGGCGATGAAGGGGGACGCCGCGCTGCAGACGCACTTCAACGAGTGCTTCAACGACGAGCTGTGAACAGCGTCTCTTCACACCTGCAGCTGTGAACAGGCACTTCAACGAGTGCATGGCCTCGATCACGGACGGCGACGTGCCGCTCCTGCTGCAGATGTACGACTTTGGCGGCCTCGGCGGGCGACGCCTCGTCGACCTCGGCGGCAACTGGGGCAAGATGATGCTGGCGGTCAAGGAGCGCTTCCCGGAGGTCGGCTGCTCAGTGGTCGACCTGCCCGGCGTCGTCGCGTCGGTCCCTCCTGCGCACATGTCCCGCGGCGTCGACTTTGTGGCGGGCGACATGTTCGACGCCTCCACGCTGCCCGCGTGCGACGCGGTGCTTCCGGAAGCACCGTCCTGAGAGGAGCTCGCGAGGAGGTCGCGAGGATGTGTCGCGATGGCCCCCCGAGAGTAGGTGCTGATGAAGCACATCCCGAGCTTACCCGAGCTTACCCGAGCTTACCCGAGATTACCCGAGAGTAGGTGCTGATGAAGCACATCCTGCACGACTGGGACGACGAGCGCTGCGTCGCGATCCTCACCTCGTGCGGCGAGGCGCTGCCGCCGCACGGCAACGTCATCATCGTCGACAACCTTATAGACCCGAACGCCATCCCCTACCCCACGGTACCGAACCCATAGGCAACGTCATCATCGTCGACAACGTGCTGCCTGCGGCGG